AAGGCCAAATAAAGGGCTTTTGCTTTCGCCTAGCAACACACAGCGTCTCTCTGACATGGCTGCATCAACACTAACTGAGGTTTCCACATAGTGACCTAGATATGTGGGGGCGTGTTAGAACGAGCCGTTTTAGGGGGGTGTGGCAGAGTCTTAACTTTGATAAAGAATATCTCTTTGGTTTTGAGACTTTAGTCTTTGCAACTTCAGGGATCTTATCTATGCACAATCAGCTTGTAACACTCCAAAGAGAAAGGAAAACTTGAAATCGCATCATATGACCCCTTTAAAAGATCCTATTCAAACGAGTCTGTCGCTTGTTGCAGTCGTGGCAATTTTGAACAACAACAAGGGGGAAAAAAGGAAAATATTATGAATTATGCATCTGCCATTAAATAAATGGGAATGCTAACGGATAGTTTTCTCCAGGTAATAAAGACCTTCTTGGATGGAGTGCATCTCCAGACGTTCTTCATTTTTCTTATTGGAAAGCACATAAGGGGCTCTTTCCAAATCACTGGAAGAAAGTTCAGAATAATTTTATTCAGTAGCTTCAAATGGCCTCATTAAAACTACAACACTTATTTTCCACTGCTTGTGTTCCCTCAGTGAGCCAATGTTTATGTCAATTTCCAATTTGTTCTGTTTTAATATTGACAAGTACACACGCACACAAATGCACGTACGTTCTAAGAGAAACATGAATTCTCTGTCTGGCAGGTCTTCAAATTTCTGCAGCAAATTTCCACTAACCAAAACAGCCACAAGGGAAAAGGGCAACAGATGCAAAGAGGAAACCGTCTGAAACACTGGCTACCGATTCCCAGCGGAGCCTGTGTGAACGGACTACCGGAGGAGCCTGCTTTTACTCCATGCTGATTTGCTCACCGCAGAAGCTACTTACTGTTTAAGTGTCTCATGACATGTGTGGCCTTCCTCGTCCTCACCGACCCAAACATCTTCATAACGATATGAAGCTATCTGACCTTTAGGCCATTTTCAGTTCATGTGACAAAATTTATAGACATTCTCCAAGGACTAAAAAATCATGCTGATTTAGTGGAACATCAAGGTCAAATTTTGTTTTTACATCTCAAATCGCAAGCTTTCCTCAGTTCAAAATGACATCTAGCATCTTTACAATCACCTGGTTGTTGAATGAAGTAAAACATCACCAGAGGAAACTTTTACTGCTCAGATGTTGCTCTTTTATAGCTCAGGTGGCCTAATGGAGCTCTTGGTATGTTTCATTTAAGTATCATCACGTAAATGGAAAATAAAATTTTAAAATGTAAAAAAAAAAAAAAAAGAAGAAGAAAGAAAAAGAAAGAAAAATACATACACAGAATATTAAACACTGGTATCACACATAATACATGGTTGCCCAAAAATGTAAGATCAAAATCACCCTAAACATCAAGCCTAGCCCTAAAATCTACCCATGATTGTTATAAGAAAAAAAAAAACATTAACATTGTAAGATATATATCGCAAACTTACAAAATTAAAAATTATATTTGTATTAACTACAAATTATGAGATTTTATTAGTTGTCATGGAATGCAACCACGTATCTAGATTTTGCACTGGTAACTGATTTGCATTATTCCTTAAGTGAATCTTTCATTAAAACACCGCAGACCGCAAGTAAATGGCAATCAAGTTGTTAGTGAATTTCCTCCCTTGATTTCTGATTGTCCAACCTGGTCTCGTGAGGTCATAATAATTAGCATGAGATGGCAAAATTGGAAGTAAGCTTACAACTCGGGTCGCGAAAAAAACTAAGACCCAAACATAAATATCAAGCTCAGCCTGTAAAGGCATGATTGTTATAGAATTTTTTGTACAAAAGTCATATGAATTATACGATTTTGCGAACTTGCAGAAATTATGTGATATTACGATTTGTGATGGAATTGTGTTGAATGTGTCAAGCGATCACAAATCTCGAACTTTGCACTGTTAACTGATTTGCATAATTGCTTTAGAGAATCGTGCGCTAAAACAACACAAATATAGAAACAGACAGACACAGACAGAAAGGCTATAAAGTCGTTGTTAGCTAATTCTGTCACTTGATTTCTGATTGTCCAATGTCATGAGATGGCAAAATTGGAAGAAACTGTACGACTTGGGTTGCAAAAAATAACCCAAACTTAAATGTAATGCCCAACCCAATACAATATATTATACGATTATGCAAAGTCGTAGAAATTCTAGAAATTGTAGAATTGCATGGAATGTGTCCTGTATCTCAAATTTGCACTGTTGACTGATTAGCATAATTCCTTAAAGGGGTCATATGATGCTGCTAAAAAGAACATTATTTTGTGTATTTGGTGTAATGAAATGTGTTTATGAAAAAAATTAACTTAAATTATTTTAGCAAATGGTTGCAATATAACAAAGAGGGAAAAATTTAAGGGGGTCTGAATACTTTCCGTACCCACTGTATATTGTTAACATCGCTAGAGGACAGTCGAGATTATGGGCATCTCACAAGACAAATTTGAGAAGCCACAGACTCTCCATTGCGCACCATTTCACGAGTTCACACTAACATATAATGTGATTAAGCAATTAGTAGCATATTTGAGAGCTTCTGATTTGTAGGCAAGAAAAAGGGCTTGATACGGTTGGATTGGTGATGGGAGGTTAAATTCCGACGTGGTGACCTCTTTTTCCTGATCTTATTTACTTATAAACTCCTATTTGATGAAATAGGAGTTTCGCTGTCAAGCACGGAAAGGTTGGATGGAGTTTGGGGTTGAATAGAAGTTATTGTGAATTCCAAGCATCTCAGGAAACCACAAAAAGCCAGTATGAACATAGCGTCGAGTCTACGAGCGGTATGGAGTGAGTGGTACCCTGTGCGGAGAATGTGGATACATTTAGAAAGGATGTCGAAAGTTATCGGCTGTCTAGCATCTGGGTTTGGAGGATGAGAGCACTGAATTCCTTTGATCAAAAGAGATGTTTGAGAATTGTTTATTTCAGGAGAGGGGGCACCGTAGATTAATTTGTGAAAAAAAAATTGGATGCCGCCTAGATAACCTTTGATTTACCGGGCTTGGAGGTTGTTACAGGTGTTAAGGTAGGAAACGAAAGATGTGATTGAGAGGAAGGAGAAATCGGGAAATGGCAGGTTGTACGAGAGGTGGAAAGCTTTAAATCATCTCCAAGCAGTTAGATAAGATTGGATGGTTCTGGGTGAAACTGCTTGGAGGATCGAACCGAGTGACGCGTTGAGGAGGTTTTAAGGGGGGAGCTATGAGGAAGAGGTGCATGGGCTGCAATTGTCAGCCGAGGTAGCCTGACGTTCATCTCATGTTGTTTGTGTCCCCGCAGACTAATTTTATAAACTGCATTCTGCAATTAAACACTCGTAGCGCTGCATTTCTGCCGTTTGTTTTTTCTCAAATGTGCTTTGAGACTGCATCACTGTGCTTAACACACATACGCACCAACTCTCTGGTACACAGCTGCATTTCAGTGGCTTTAAGTGTATTGCTCATTTGACAAACACAAATTGATTTCCCACAGGGTGGATTGTGAGGAAAAAGTAGGGTCCAGGAAACACGCTGGATGGGGCAAACAAATTCCTCTATTCTGTTCCCTCCCACTTCCCATCGCTCTCTTTAATAAGATGTCTGCCTCTTTGTTTGCCTGCTGTAAAAAAAAACAGAGAGAGAAACTGCTATTGATTAACAGCACTGCATGAAAAAACGCGCAGTGGGGTCTCTTCTGAAAGCGCTCAGCCTCTCTCTAAGCTTGACCTTTGAGGCTTCTCAACTTTTTGAATTCATTGGCATTGTTTAAAAGCGGCACAAACACGGATCTGTTGCACCTACGCACGCTGATAGCCGCGAGCCAAATCTAAAAGTTTCAAATGAGACGGCATCTGGAGACCAAGCATTTTGGCTGTTGGTTCTGTCATTCAGTGCAGTCATCTGCTGCGATGAGGTAGCGTTCGTTACAAATAAAGTTTATCATGCATTGCAACATATGCCAGCTCTCAAAACCCTCATTTTCTCACTCGTTTTGTCTAGCCTGCATCCTGTTTAAGCTTGGATTATGGTCCTGGGAGCCCCGGGGCTCCAGCTTCTTTGAAGGCCCCCAGTTGCTGTTATAATTCCACATAGACTTCCATTTCTAAGTGCATTACTCTAGATGAGATTTGTGTTTGTTGTCACACACAATGGTAATCAAATGCTGTCGATAGAGATTACTCAGAACATTCCTTTAATTATGTAAGCCCATTTCAAACCCATAATAGAGAATTCAAACTTAATAAATAAATATATAAAGAAAATATAATAATACCACACGTATACCTGTTAGATAATTAACAATACTACTTATACTATTATTTTTATTATCTTAAGTTTAATAATTTAAATGCAATTATGATGATTTTAATAACAATAATAATTATTATAATAATAATGTTTTATTATTATATATGAACGTTTATATTTAATACTTATTATTGTGATATATTTTTTAACAAACCAAGGAAATTAGCATAGAAAATGTGGACTTTTATTATTATTATTATTATCATCTCCATATTAATTATTTTTAATGTAATTGTAATCATTATTCTTAATAATGATGACTATTATTTTGATTATTATACATTATAATTTATATTTTAAAAATTTATATAATAATATTGTGATTTTTAAAAAAGCAATTTCAAAAATTTCAGTTTAAGGCATAACTTTTTTCATAACCATCCCTGATGGTGAGGATGATCATGTATTATTATTATTATCATCATCCTCACTGTTGTTGTATAAAATTGTACAATGTATTATTATTTATTATTATTGTTGTAAATAAGGTATTTTATTTAATAATAATAATCGTCATCATCATCATTATTATTTAATGTTGATATAATTGTAATTATGATTTATGATTTTTTTTTGTAAACATAATTATAATAATTATTGTGATTTTTTTTTTTTTTGTTAACTGTTCATTAGCATAAAGCATAACCTTCCCTGATGATGATGATAATAATAATAATGTATTATTATTTATAATTTATATTTCTAGTTTACAACTGTATGCCAGAATTTAAGTTAAATATCCGATTACAAAACAATGTATTCATAAATGTATTCATAATTAATACATATGTAAATAATTGTGCCTAAAGAGTTAACCAAGTAAATAATAATAATAATAATTAATTATTATTATTATTATTACTATTATTAAATTATTGTTTTCCGTTAGCAGTGATTATTTTAGTATCATTGAGATATAATTATAACATTAAATATTTTGAATTTGTTTTTATTTTTGTATTTTCCATTTTCATTTTCATTTATCATCATTGTCATCATCATCATCATCATCATCATCATCATCATTTTAATTACCTTTCATGAGTGTTTAATTGTTTTTAATTAGTCTTTCAGTTTTTTGTCTATAGTTTTTATTAATTTTTAGTTTTAGTTATTTTATTACATTGTTACACTAAATGAAAATGAGATTTAGTTAGCTATAATAGCTCTATAATAACTATTAATAAGTCAGTCGGTCAATTAGTTAGTTTGTTTGTATTTATTGCCAGTATTACACATTTTTGAAGGGAGGGCACTCAGACATTTTTTCACAATTTTCATCAGATTCATAGCAAAACAGACACTATTATATATATCTTTGTGAATATTTTTCTCTCCTTGTAATTGAATTCAACTTAAATTCTGGCATAGAGTTGCAAACCCTGAAAGAATTATCACATCTTTTTAAAGAAGCAACATTATATTTTATAAACCGCCTTGTTATGGCCACCCACTGTTTTTTTGTTCCTAAACCTTTTTGTCATGTTCTTCTCTGCACCTTCACACTTTTTTTTCCCATTTCCATTCTTTGTTTTGGTTTTGGTTGGGAGAGGTTGAGTCACACTGTGCGCATGAAGACTAATATGCACATCCAAGGAAGGCGACAGAATCCGTGCTCTGTAGGGCACTTGTGAGTCACTCGATGACCGACTTCAAATATGACGCACATTCAAACACCCAATTACCAGAATGCCTCTGCGTGCACATCCAACATGCTCAAAAACACATATCCAAGCAACGCATTGTCTTTAAAA